GGGGGGGGGGGGGGGGGGGGGGGGGGGGGGGGGGGGGGGGGGGGGGGGGGGGGGGGGGGGGGGGATGTTTGAAGTCCCGCCGTTTGTGACAGTCTCGCCAACTTCATCCACACCTAACATCGTCGTTGTTAGCGTCGCAAGGGCGGTTGTGCGAGAAGATAAGGTGAGGATAGGATTGGGTGGGGGGATCAAGCGTGTTGATGCTGTCGTTGTTGTTGTTGTTGTTATTGTTATCGTTGTCGCCGGAAGGGGTGCCGGTGGGGAATAATACCGGAGGGGACATGGCCAGACTGATAGGACTGGATGGAGATAAGCACGCTACAGTAAGAACATCCAACAAACCCTACACGTCGCAGCCAGCGGTAGCAACCGGTTAGTGGAGAAAAGAGCGACCCAGTCAGCAAAGCGAGACGGGGGGTGGCGCCTATTAGGTTCTTTTGGCCAATGATCGTGCACCACGTTTTGATTAGTACCGCTCCGATTGCACGCCCTCCTACGGTATTTGCGGACCGTTTTCTTCATGTTGGGAACATGCTGTTGAAAGGTAATGAGGGGGGACCGGTGGTGTCTTTATGGTAGCCTCAGTCCTCCAAAATATTTTGTGCTGTCTTCAAGTTGGGATGGGGGACCCGCGGGGGGGAAGGGGAGGGGGTGTACTCATAGTCGTGCATGCCGTAGTCGTTAGACCATTGACCTCGCATCCCTACAAAGCCGGGACGGAGCACGCCGGGTTCTCACCGGACCAGGCTCTCACATCACCAAGCGCGAAGCGCCGTGAGATATTCGGCGAGTCGCATGAAGGGTGCGCTGCATCCTGCTAAGGGTGTTCGGCATCTTGTGCTTACTTCCTTGCGTACGGATGACAGCTGCGTATGAATTAATTTATTTTCTGGTGCTTTCACTTCCAGAGACAGTTGTAAGCACTGTGTAACTGCCTCGAGGGTGCTTGACCATTTTAACACAACGTGGTGCGACCATCCCCCTTGCGCGGAGTTAGGCTTCTCGACCCCGCACAACATGATCTACGCGACCACCATTATGATTACCGCCAAAAAAAAAAACGGAGGTAAAAAAAAAACCGGTAACCTGGTTGCCGAGTTCACGAAGTGAATTGGCTTGTTTTACAACGTCGTTGGCAAGCGACGAAAACCCAACCCCGATGGCAAACACCGGGGGGAGGGGGGTGGGTGGGCGTATGCGTTAGCGGTTAGACCATCTACAACGCGTCCTCGAGAGGACGGAGCTTGTCCCTACACGACCGATCACCGATGGCCAATCGTTCCTTCCTACCTTGCCAAAGGTGGCCCAAACATGTTCTCCCTAGCCTATCAATGGTATCGACATCACTTCCCGGCTTTTCAGCCCTCTTCCTATGCCCCGGTTTAGGCACCGTCTTCTCCTGGATATTCGATGCCTCAAACCTATGCCTCAAACCTAAGCCTCAAACCAGTGCCTCAAACGCCTCGGGGGGGTGCGGGGGAGGTGTACTCATAGTCGTGCATGCCGTTGTCGTTAGACCATTGACCTCGCATCCCTACAAAGCCTGGGAAGGAGCACGCCGGGGTGGTGCTAGGGGGGGGGGGTATACCTGGCGGTGTCCTTCTATGGTAATTTTTCTGTCTGTCTCACCGCCACGTCAGTCCCGTCCTCATCGGCAGCGGCGACCTGAAGCTCCAGCGCCCTCGCCTCGTCGCCCTCCCTCTCGACCATGTCGGCGAGGTTCTTGAGGCAAAGGAACCGCACGGGAGTGCCGAAGCTGGACGCCGACCTTTTGTCCTCCGCCGGTCTATTTTTTCCCAGAGTTTTTTTTAGGGCGGTGTTTCCACCACGTGTTTTTGCGGCACGGGACGCCAGGAAAGCGACGGGGAAGAGGGGGGAGGGGGGGTGTACCCATTGTCGTGCATGCCGTAGTCGTTAGACCATTGAGGGGGGTGGTGATTGATACCAAGTGCGAGGCGTCTGATCTTGCTTTCGCGCAACCATGTTGCTTGCCTGACATGCACGTTCCGAAAAACATTTCGCTTTGACCACCCAGGGGACACGCGTACGTAAAAATCTTGATAAGGAACAGCGAGGAAGAAGAATGAAAGCGCTTTGGGGGTCTGTTGTCGTTTCCGCGTGACGCTCCAAAGCACGGTGCTTCCCTGACACGCAAATCGCTCAACTCGTTTCACTTAGACCCGGGGGACACGCTTCTATCAAACTCTTGTCATAGGAGCAACGAGGGAGCAGGTTGGGAGAGTGCCTTTGAAGACGTTTCTCTGAGACCCCCACAAACATAACCGAAACAAGTCACCCGAACCAACATGCCTCTTTTAAACGGGACACACGGGGACCATGTATCGTCGGTCTACGTGTCTAGGGGTTCCGTTTCACAACAGCCGGCTTGTTCAGTCTGCAACAATTTCTCTTATTGCTGATCTTGGCTATTTTTTCGTTATCCGAGCGCCTTCACATCAGTGCTGCATTGGGGGCTCGCGAGACCCATTGATTGAGAGAGTGTTGAAACCTTAAGACCATCTCTTTTCATAAATCTACCCCCTATGTCCGTAACTCCGGCAAAAGACGGGAAGAGGGGGGGGGGTGTACTCATAGTCGTGCATGCCGTAGTCGTTAGACCATTGACCTCGCATCCCTACAAAGCCGGGACGGAGCACGCCGGGTTCTCACCGGACCAGGCTCTCACATCACCAAGCGCGAAGCGCCGTGAGATATTCGGCGAGTCGCATGAAGGGTGCGCTGCATCCTGCTAAGGGT